TCATGGAAGGGGAACATAAATGACAGTTAAGGAACTCTATAAAATCAGGCCCTTTTGTTGGGGCCCTTTAGATTACTGGTACATCTTTAGTACATTTTAAGCATTTGGCAAAATTTGGCTCAATATATATATATATATTTAAAAATTGTGTACTCCTGACATTGGAACCTGATTATAAGTTCCAAATTTTGGGAAATAATTGGAAAAAAAATAGTTTTAAAAATGATTCAATTTAAGGGTGCCTGGGTGGCTCAGTTGGTTAAGTGTCTGACTCTTGATTTCAGCTCAGGTCATGATCTCAGGGTCATGAGATCTAGCTCAGCGTTGGGCTCCACATTTGGCATGGAGCCTGCTTAAGATTCTCTCTCTTCTTTGTCTTCTGCCCCTCCCCCCTCTCTAAAAAAAGATTCAATTTAAAATATTTTTCCTTAAATTTTTGGATTTTTCTAAAAAGTAAACTGTTCAACAAAAAAAGCGAACCTGAAAATCCTGTTTAGAAGATCCCAGATCTCTTATCATACTATTTATTTTACTGAGATTACTTTCTACTATTCTTGTTGAAATTTATTTTGAGTGCCAGATTTCATCAGATCTTCAACATTTCATGTACCCTCACACAGAAATGATGAGCTGATTCATAAATGTAAAACAGTAAATTCATATGTGAAAATATAAAAATAAGCCCTTATTTCTAAAATTAATAATACATTTGGCCTCAAGAATTTCATGTTTCGGGCGCCTGGGTGGCTCAGATGGTTAAGCATCTGCCTTCGGCTCAGGTCATGATCCCAGGGTCCTGGGATCGAGTCCCACATCGGGCTCCCGGCTCAGCGGGGAGCCTACTTCTCCCTCTGACCCTCTCCCCTCTCATGCTGTTTCTCTCTCGCTCGCTCTCTAAAAAATAAATAAATAAAATCTTAAAAAAAAAAAAGAATTTCATGTTTCTGCAAGGACTCTGTGGGTAATAGGGGTTAACCCAATCAAAACTATTTGGCTGGAAGAGACCCCCACCAGACATGAGTGCAGTAGGTCTTCGAGACCCTGAGGCACCCCTCTTTTGGTTGATTTGATTATCTAATTGTATCTTCTACTTTCTGAGACTGCACCTAGGGTTCTGCCTTCTCTCCTTGACTTTACTCCTGAACTTTTGACTTAGGCTTGGTGACCTGACTCCAACTTCCAAGTTCCTATACTGCTCTGAGCTGCTGCCTCTGATTCTCTTTCAGATCCCAAAGGCCAGATTTCCCAAGTCAGCAGGTGACTGGATCTGAATTCTTTTTTGCCACTGCCTGACTTGACTAAGCTTGGAGTTTGGCTGTGTCCTAATTTCATCAAGCTCCACGAGAGCCGGGCCTGACCACTTTAGAAGCTATCATAAAAGAGCTATAGAAGGCAGAAGAGGGAGGTTCCAAAGGAATCCTAGAGTGAAAATTTTAGTAGAGCTGATGACACCTACACCTATTCTTGGTCTTTAGTTTAAATATTTCCTACAGAGTTTACTTAAGTGAGTTGCAGCTTCTTTCCTAATTTTTTTCTAGGCTTTAATTTACAGACCAGAATGACATTCTTGCTCTTTACCTTTTAGGGAAGGAATGGAATAAAGTGGTTGAATTAAGAAATAGAAGAAGAATCAATGTGAAGTAGCCCAGTGATCTGAAGTTATGTGGCTTTGATTGGAGCTTGGTTTGAAAGAGGATGACTGATTAAGTACTACAGGCAAATCAGTTGAGTGGGCATTTTATTAATTTGGCTCATAAAAAAGAGAGTCAATCAGCATCACACCTTGGGGAATATTCACATAAAATCAGATTAAAATATGACTAATTAAAAGGAATTTCCAAGAGTAACTCAGCATAATGCCAAATTAAAGAGCAAATGCACCTGAGGAGCTGGAAGCAATAAGGGAAGCTGAGAGGTTTCTCGGGAAGAAGCTGCGGTTAGCATCTGCAAGAGCCTTGGGGAATGAGACTCAAGGTCAGGGACTAGAATCAAGAAAAGTTGGATGAATTTTACTAGTCCCAAAAGGAAGTGCTCAAAGAAGACAGAGTCAAAAATAAAAAAAGAGTCATAAAAGGTGTATTTGAGTGTGCTAAGGATGTGGGTCCTGTTTGCATTGATGACCTGGTGGGAGCTACTTAGGATGGCATGTGGAAAAGAAGAATCTGGAAGCCACAGAGGCCAGGAAATAGTGAGAGAGATAAAAATGTAGCCAGGAGAGGAGTCTAGATTGAAAGCTGAGAGCAACTGGATTAAACAGCAAGCTGGAAGCACCAGGGAAAGATAGAAACATTGGTTGGATATCAATGCTAGTTGTTAAAAGAGTTGAAAAATGTAGGCTTTTAGGTTTGGGTGAACTCTGGGGTGAATCTTGAATGAATAATGGAGAATAGATTCCAAGCACAAACACTGCGAGTGAAGAGTGAATTTACTAGTCTGTGCACAGATCTGTTTTGAGCATCTACCATGCAATTCACACTATAATTAATATTCTGGATGAATACAGAGGTAAATGAAATGCACCTCTTGTGCCTAAATTGCTCAGTACCGTCAAGGTATAGCCTGGCACTGAACAGACACCCAAGACATATTTTTTGACTGTCTTCTTTTGTGCTTTGGTCACAGTGGAGTGATAGAACCAGCTCATATGAACTGTTTGTTAGTATCTCTCCCCAAATCCATGTTCAGTGATATCATGTTGGAAGCTTGAAATTGGCCATGGTGGAAGTATTTGCAGCATAAGAATTGGCAAACACTCCAAATCAGGGCTCCTTCTCCTCCCCCTGCCTCCAACCCAGTCATTAAACTTTTACCAGCACACTGGTACTAGATCAACTTAATCAGTTTAATTTAACAAATATTGAGTACTTCATAAAAGTACATCCCTGTGCTGGATACTTGTCATCCTGCTTTCAACAGGTATTTGTCATTTCCCAATAACTTGATTACTTAGGTGGTTTGGAAGCTTTCCTTATTTAACCAGTACCATATTTTAGAGTGATGGTTTGCCTCCACTCTCTTGTGAAATGGGAATGCAAAGCCAACACAAGTTTGTGAGTTTTCTCCTTGGATTTGGAGTATTGGCAATATGTCCCATGGATGTGCAAGGGAAGACCTTTCTACTTCCTACTAGAAATTCAGCTCCTAATAGATATATACTTACCTTTAAAAAGCTGTTCTTTGATTGGCTCTTCTGACAATGGTTCATGGTAGAAATTTGGGATCAGTGATTATCCAGGGGATCATGGATGGTTCTTTTGTTATTTGTTCCTGTGAAAAGTAGAAGCATTATGTTTCTTTCTATCCCTATAAAAGATTCCCTTCATAAGTGTATACAAACTGGGTCCTGGCCCTACTACCTCTTAGGTTAGACATTCAGGGTCACTTTATATTTGCAATTTCAGATACACTAATTCAGTGACATTGAGATTAGAGTGGGAATCATTAACAGTGCTCTGTTAATGCCAATTACCTCCGCAACAGTCAGACTAGAGACAGATAAGAGTCCCTGATTACTGATTAAAATATGGTATCCTGAAAATTGTCTAGTTTGAGTGTAGATGTAGCACAAAGATTTGTTATCTGAATTAACTCAGATTGAATGCTAATATTGGGAAAACTCACCAGGAATAATATAACTGTTATACTTCCCCAGTGGGAATAAAATAGAAAGAACTTTACACTTCTGGGCCATGTTAAAGTCAGGAAAATTGGGATTGAAGTCTTTTATGATAACTTTTAAGTCATAAAGCCTACTAATGAGAGGGTCGAAGTAAAAATAGTAGAACTAAGTATGGCATTAAAGTTTCTATGATGTTACCTCCTTAATCTAATTTTAACATTTGATTTATGCTTTTCAAATAGTGTTATATATAACTCAAAATTTTCATAAGGGAGCAAACTATTTTTTTTGTGGTGGGTTCATTTCCTTTTGCCCAATGCTATTGTCTTCAGGTAGTACCCAGAATTTGGATAATTACCTCCTTGTAAAACATAACTTTGGAAAAGATTTTAGAGATTAGAAAATGATTGGCCAAATAGAAGTAATATCAGACATGGTAGTGAGCTTTAAAGAGCCAGGTTTTATTTTAACTAATGAAAAATCAACATATGGATAATGCTGAGGAATGAAATAAAAAATTAGGAAAAGCATCTTTGAGTTGCTGTTTGTTTAAGCTAGCTCATAGATGCTAAAATGTAGGAAATATTTGTATTCCTAGAAGGTTATAATGATATAAAGTGCATTTATTTATTCATTTAAAAAATTGTATTCTTCTTTTTAATTTAGAAAGGTAAAAGAAAAAAACAAAAAATGGACAAAATTTTTATTCTCAGAAAAATTCTATTAAAAATAGTTATATTAAAAATAGTTATATATTTGTGTATTTATCAATGGGTACACATATGCACATCTATATGCACATGTGTGTATATACATGTCTCTAAACACACATATGTATCTATATAGACACATATGTATGTATCTCTGAATGCATTTATCATTGTTATCTATCGATCTATCTATCTATCTATCATTCTATCTATCTTATTTGTCAGAAAATTCAAAAGGTTTTTCTGGTTTCTCTAAGATTGAGGACTCAAATAATGCAAAATTAAATGCTGACCTGAACTTACAGGAAAAAAAAATGGAATCTTTGTTCACCAGAAACAAATGGGAACTCTGAAAACCAGAACTCTAAGAACCTGATTTGAGACTACATCATCCATCTGATGCTACTCTACCATCTCATATTCCTACCATGAGTCTGAGTGACCCAGTTTCTCTGTATCTGCACCATCATTTGTTATTATCACTATTTTTTATTTTGGTCATTCTGATAGGTGTAGAGTGATAACACCTTGTGGTTTTAGTTTGCATTTCCCTGATGGCCAACAATGTTGAAAATCTTTCTTTTCCTTCTGGTATCCCCACGTGCATGTTAATGCCTTCTGTGGTTGTCTCACAGCCCTCGGGCCCTGCTGCTACTGCCTGGCCAAGTGGAATTGCCTCACTGGGATGGGTGGGGACAAGTTCGGCTCCGTGGCGGCCCCGCCCACACTTTCCCGGTGAAAGCGGACAGCTGCCTTGCACCATCTGGGTGCTGCTCTTGCACCGGGGGTAAGGTAAGTACCTTACTGATCCTCATTGACTCCCAGGTAGGAGGAAGTGGAGGACTGACTGGCACTACGCTGCACAGTTTTGTGATGCCTTTTTGATGACCTGGGGAGTGGAGGCTCACTTCCACCCTGAGCTCGCTGAAAGGGTGCAGGGAATGCCAGGAAGAGGAAGAAAGGGCTTTCCTTCTCTCTCTTCCTTTAAAATTTTTTTGGGCTAAAAATGCACTTACTTTGTCCTCATTCTTTTTTTTGTTATTTTCATTTTTTTTTTTTTTAAGTAGGCTCCACCCCAGTGCAGGAACTCATGAGCCCAGGATCAAGACCTGAGCTGAGACCAAGAGTCAGGTGCTTTAACTGACTGAGCCACCCAGCCACCCAGTTTGCCCTCACTCTTGATTGGTAGTTTTGCTCTATGCAGAATTTTTGATCCAGTCATTTTTGTTTAGTGCTTTGGAGATTCTCCTCTGTGATCTGTTGCTGCTGAGAATTCTGCTGTCCGTCCCATCTGAGTTCCTCTGCAGGAATGTCTCTTAACTTTGGCTATAGTTAAGATGTTTCCTCTTGTTACACTGTTTCTCAGTGATGTTTCATTTATTTGCAGTATTCTGGCTAGGCAGTTAGTGAACTTTCCAGTCCTCAATTTGGAAAATTTCTCAACCTTTCTCTTCTCATACTTTCTCTCCACATGCATTCCCTAAGTTTGCTTTTTTAGGAAATTTTGTACTTGTCTTTCATAGTTTTATTTCATCATTTCTCTGTGTTGCATTCTTTTTGACCTCTTCAGTGTGCTCTTCTAATTCACCAATTCTCTTGTCTGGTCTAGAGTATATGCCAAGTGATGAATTTTTTTTTTTTAATTTCAGTGACTATTTTTATTTCCATGTTTAATGAGTTCTTTTTTCTTGCCATCTGATCTTGTTTTATTTCACTTTTTTATTTTGTAATTTCTTATTTTTTTAGAAGAAAGCTTCATATCTTGAGGACCCTAAAACATACTTATTTTAAAGTGATTTTTAGATAGCAATCTTATTTCTGTCTGGTCTAGAATTAATCCTTCTTCCAGTTGTTGATTTTGTTGTCTATTTTTCTTAGCCTCAGTGTTCCTCATGTCATTTTAAATTGTGGTTTGTGGGTTCATCTTGATTGTGAATTTTTTTGCTTTCTCTTCCTCTTCTCATTCTCTCCTATCTAGTGGTTACTTTCTCTTTGCTCCCAAGATCCTATGTTGGGACTTTGGGGTTTATGTCCTGCTCTGATAATGGCAATATTGCAGATCCAGTCAGCAAATCAGAGTATAAAATCAGTAATGCAAGAAACAACAGGTGTTGGTAAGAATGTGGAGAAAGGGGAACTCTCTTGCATTGTTGGTGGGAATGCAAACTGGTGCAGCCACTCTGGAAAACAGTATGGAGGTTCCTCAAAAAATAAAAAATAGAACCACCCTATGATCCAGCAATTGCACTATTAGGTATTTACCTAAAGAATACAAGAACACTAATTCAAAGGGATATGCACCCTGATGTTTATAGCAGTATTATCTACAATAGCCAGTTATGGAAACAGCCCAAGTGCCCATCGACTAATGAATGGATAAAGAAGATGTACTATATCTATATCTATATATCCACACAATGGAATATTACTCAGCCATAAAAAGAATGACATCTTGCCATTTGCAACAATGTAGATGGAGCTAGAGAGTATTATGCTAAGCAAAATAAATCAGTCAGGGAATGACAAATACACAAATGATTTCACTCATATGTAGAATTTAAGAAACAAAAGAAACGAGCAAAGTGAAAAGAGAGAGAGAGAGAGGCATACCAAGAAACAGACTCTTACTATAGAGAACAAACTGATGGTCACCAGAGGGGAGATGGGTGGGGGGATGGGTGAAATAGGTGATGGGGATGAAGGAGTGCACTTGCTGTTATGAGCCCCAGGTGATGTATGGAAGTGTTGAATCGCTATGTTGTGCACCTGAAACTAATATTACACTGTGTTAACTAACTGGAATTTAAATAAAAACTTAAAACAATCAGAGTATAGTTTGCTCCTGTTCTTGACCTTGAGGTCAAGTCTGTCTCCTCTGGACCACAAGTTTACTTAAGTGGAAACCCCAGGTAGTTTTCTTCCACAGGTTTTTCTAGGCTCCCTTCCCAGGTGTTGGAGCCTCATTCCAATCTCAACCTCATGCAGTGAGACTTTGGTCTACTACTCATGAGGCACTTGTCCTTTTATTCCTTTCATTTATAATCTAAGACAACTGGCTAACTTTTACTCCCCAAACTCTGTAGAACCAGAGATTCTTTCATATATTATGTATATTAATATGCATAGAATATTCATAAATACTATATATTAAATGAAATCATGTTATATTCATATATATTCATACTATATATGAATCCCTAGCACTTAGCTCTTAGTAGAGTGCATGACATCAAGTAGCTACATATTAAATATTTATAAGACTAAGGTTGGTTGACTATGTTATGACCTTGGTTACTAATTAACATAGTGAAATTTTTATACTATTACAATATTTTTCCAAAGAGTTTTTTCTTTGTTAAGCACTGCAATTCTGTGTTCAGATAAAATTATACTGAAGCAAATTTAATTTTTTGAAAATAACTTTATTTATGTTGGTAAGCCAGACTCTATCCTTTGGCTTCAAATGAATTAACATGATTGTGCTAGATTGTAAAGATTTTAAACAGGGGGAAAAAATCAACAAGGAGACTAAATAGCACACTTAGAAGATAAAATTTCCTTTTGGGGAAAAATAAAATAATTTTTTTTAGGAAGTTACTTTGATAAATTTACACTAATGTGTTAGTGTGTTCAAAGCTGGTGATCAGACTTCCAGAAAACTTCTGGCATCCTCAAAAATGTGGTAAGTAATATAAAAGCTAACTAAAAGTTAAAGGAGATGATGTCAGGAAAGGGAAATGATGCTTACAAAGCCATGAACTTTGCAGATGGAGTTGCCCTTAATGGTCTAATATTGATTTAAAGCCAATTTAATTTAAAAGTATACAGACCTTTATTTATTAAATTTCAGAAAAAAATAGATCAGAAAAATTGAGGAAGGGAAGATGGTGGGGTAATAGGGAAGCTCAGAAGAAACTTGACTCTCAAAAATAATTTGTGGTGTGTTTATGTTAAATGGATGAATGAGTTATGTTAAATGGATGAATCCCTGAAAACAATATTTACTAGTGATCCTATCAGAAAAAGAACAAGTACAGTTGATCCTTGAAAAACATGGGGGTTAGAGGCTCCCACCCTCTGCACAGTCAAAAATCTGCGTATAACTTTTGATTCCCCCCAAACCTAATTACAAAGAGCCCACTGTGGATCAGAAGCCTTACTGATAACATAAACAGTGGATTAACACATATTTTTTATGTTATATGTATTACATACTGTATTCTTAAGATACAGTAAGCTAGAGAAAAGAAAATGTTATCAAGAAAACCACAGGACGGCTGGGTGGCTCAGTCGTTAGGCTTCTGCCTTCAGCCTCAGGTCATGATCCCAGGGTCCTGGGATTGAGCTCCGCATCAGGTTCCCTGCTCAGTGGAGAGTCTGCTTCTCCTTCTCCCACTCCCCCTGCTTGTGTTCCCTCTCTCACTGTGTCTCTCTCTGTCAAATAAATAAATAGTCTTAAAAAAAAAAAAACCCACAGGCAAGAGAAAATACATTTACAGTACAATCCACATATAAGTGGACCTACATAACTCAAACCTGTGTAGTTCAAGGGTCAACTGTCCTCCCAGTACTATCACAAACACAGTGTAGTCTGGAGTCAAACAGAAACTCCATGTGTTACAAGTCATGAGGATATCATGGTATTAAAACCAAGTATACCATTGTATCAGTTTCTTTTGACTGCCATAACAAATTAACACAATTTTGGTGACTTCAAAGAAAGTTTTTTTCTCTCAGTTCTGAGGACTGGAAGTTGGCAAGGGCCACACTTGTTCCTAAGCCTCTAGGAGAGATTTTGTTCCCTGCCTCTCCCACCTTCCAGTGGCCGTCGGCATTCCTTGGCTTGTGGTGGCAACATCTTCCGCTCTGTGTCTGTCTCTAAATTCCATCTGCCTCTCTCATGATGATACTTGTGATGGCATTTAGGTCCCACACAGATGATCTAGGATAAGCTCTTTGTCTTCAAGATCCTTCATCATATTTCTCGCGGTATAAAGTACTATCCATTCTTCTGCCCACATAAGGTCCTATTCATTAAGACATTATCTTCGTTTGCTAGGGCTGCCAAAACAAATACTGCAAGCTGGGCAGCTTAAACAATAGAAATTGATTATATCACAGTCCTGGAGGCTGGAAGCTTAAGATCAAGGTGTTGGCAGGTTTGGTTTCTCCTAAGGCCCCTCCCCTTGGCTTGTAGACAGCTGCCTTCTTGCTGCATCTCTTACAAGTTCTTTCCTCTGCACACACCTGCCCTTGGTGTCTCTTTGTGTGTCCACATTTCCTCTTCTTATAAGGACACTACTCAGATTGGCCCACTGTACAGGCCACCTTTTAATTTAATTTCCTCCTTAAAGACCTCATCTCCAAATATAGTCATATTCTGATGTACTGGGGATTAGGGCTTCAACATGTGAATTTTGGCAGGGGACACAATTCAGTCCATACCAGATATGAACATATCTTTTGTGGGGGGGCACCATTTAGCCCACTACAAATGTGTAACTTTCATTGAAATGAGAAAAAAGTTAAATATAATCTACCATGCTCTATTCACCAATGCAGGCAAGTGTAATACATTTAAGGAGTAGTCTCATCAAAACAGTTAAAATTTCAGAGAAAAAGAACTCTATCAGCAGTTGCTGACAATTAACTAGAAAAATCACTTATGTGGAATAGTCATTTCTCAATGAGGCAAGATTAAATGTAATGCTAGCATATTGCAAAAATCTCACACTGATATTTATTTGGGAATATTTTTTAAAGCTCTCCCTTTCATTTATGGATTTATAGAC